TTCCATGAAGTATTTTTCAAACATGTATTTAGATAATTTTTCCTTTGTTGCTTTAAAGAAAGCCTATAAGATAAAACACCAGAGAGTGCTTAGATTTAGAAAATCTTTATATTGACTGAGCATATGCTTCTCTTTATTAAATGCTATGTCACAAAATCATGAAGATGAGACAACAAAATAAATATGAAAAACATAGGGTTCAGATGAAAGTTCATGATACTTTTCAATTATTGGTGAGAGACTTCCCAGTGAATTGAATGACTCACCTAAGTCTTTATCATGCTGGAAGTGGGTGAGATACATTAGGCCTCACTCCCAGGAAGATATTCAATAATCCATTGTTCTCCCCCAATGTCTGTTCTCACCTACTGCATTTTGACCTCTCTTTCATTCACTCATATGTATACATTGGAACTGCCTGATTTAAAATGTGCTATTGTCTTTAATGCACACATTCTACTAGGCAGAGATGGTCTGACAGATGATTAGTTTACACTTTCATAACATGAGACACCTTTGTGGTGAAAATTTTATTTAAACTAAGGACATTGTTGTGATATGGCTCTTAATGATATGGACCCTAGATGAGTCTGGCAAAGCCTTTGAATTCTTTCTTATATGTTTTAATTTTTTTTTTTTAAAAAAAAGATGCTTAGTTCTCATTTTAAAACGGAACAGTATTTGGGGTCAGGAAAGATGACTCAGTGATTAAGAGCTGATGGTAGGTAGCTCTGATTGTCCAGCTATTTAGTAAGCTCTGAATTCCATGTAGAAACATGGTGCCTCACTCCTCTCATGGGGAGCTTTTGAGTATGAGTCCAGTGTTTACCAACTTACACTGTATATACAGCCTGTAGAGGGCCTCCTTTTGCCTTCTGCTGGAAGGAAACCTGGTAGGTCTTAACAGTGCTGGTAACTGTTCTGTATTGTTCTAGTAAATTTTTAAAGCAGGTATCAAAGTAAACAAGAAAGAAAATATAAGAAAGGTGCACATATAATATTTCTGTTCCTCTAGAATCAGGAGCAATCCATCAGCAGCGCTGTGGCCGAAGATTCCAGTGACATTGTTTGTTTGTAATTCGAAGTCAGAAAATTCAGATGTACAATTAACTTAGAAATTTAAAGATTTTTTTTATTTAAGAAAAAAAATTGTTTTTCCATTTTACATACTAACCCCAGTTTCCCCTCCTTTCCCTTCTCCCACCCACCATCTCCCCCACATCCCATCCCACATCCATTTCTCAGTGCAGGTAAGGCCTCCCTTGGGTAGTCAGCTAAGTCTGGCATACCAAGTTGAGGAAGGATCTAGCCCCCCACCCCACCCCCTGCATCAAGGCTGAGCAAGGTATCTCACCAAAAAGAATGGGCTCCAAAAAAACCAATTCATGCACATGGGATAATTCCTGGTCCCAATGCCAGGGGCCCCACAAACAGATCAAGCCAACAACTGTCACCCATATTCAGAGAGCCTAGTTAGGTTCCATGCAGGTTCCCCAACTGTCAGTCCACAGTCCATGAGCTCCCACTAGCTCAGGTCAGCTATCTCTGTGGTTAGTCAAAACAATCCTGTACAATAAAGGAACTTCCAGGGGCATCACCATCCCTGATTTCAAGCTCTATTATAGAGCTACAGTAATAAAAAACAACATGATATTGGCATAGCAACAGATATGTGGATCAATGGAATTGAAATGAAGACTCTGACATTAATCCACACACCTATGAACATCTGATTTTTGGCAAAGAAGCCAAAATTGTACAATGGAAAAAAGAAAATTAAAGATTTTAAATGGTTGGGTAAACACTATAACTGCTCTTTTTTACTTATTTTATTGAAAATATTGTTTCAAGGCTGAAATGATTAAGAAAGCTTTCTTCAATACTCTTTTTTTTCTCAGTATAACAGAGGATTGATAAGGTCTTATTTTCTAATTTTGCTAACCATTTTTTTACAACATATTTCCAGGATGAATAATTGCAATGTGTTTAATTTCAAAGGTGAATTATTAATAACTTTTTTAATTTCATGGGGCCAATGAGATTGTCACATGAACCTGGTGACCTCAGTTCAATCCCTAGTTGGAAGGAAAAAAAAACTTCAAAAATTTGTATCCTGACTTTCACACATGTTCACAAATATCACACACACACACACACACACACACACACACACACACACAATTGTAAAATTTTAAAACTATAAATAAATTCTATTTTTGTACTCACTATATTCTGAAGATATCACATTTTATCAGTTTGCTTTTTTAATTTTTGTCACATAAAAGGGGTTCTACTGCACAGTATTTCAGTTCTGTCTTTATCATCATTAGTGAGGCTACCACCTGCCTTTTATAGAATATACATAAAGAACTTAGAGACTAAGAACAAAAAGATTATTTAATATTCAATTTTTATTAAACTGATTCTGTTGCAAATTTGTTAGATTATTCCATGTAAAAGTTGAATAGCTATAACAAAATAAAACACATGGTTTTAATGTCTATTTTCTCAAACTAAAAATGGATTAAAGAAAAATTACATTTTAAGTAGTGAATGTATATTTCCTATTTTAATCAGAAAAATGAGAATACAGCCTAACTGGTAATTAATAAATTAAGATCATTCCCATCTTTCTACTAAATTATTAAGGAACTTAAGGGATAGTTATTTTTAATAAAGCTGTATACAACAAAATTATTTGTCATATAAAATGCTACTTAAAGGTTGAAAGACAAATGTCAGGGTCATTGATAAATTTAGAAAATTGAAAATCTAAGCAGTTTATGTACACAATATAATTTAGCTTTTCATTCATTTTCTCTGAGGCATTATGTAAGTGCCAACACACGAGATCTGCACATCCACACACATACTCATAAAGCAGCACTGCATAAACACAGGGTCCCAGTGTTATCTGTGCTATGGGGGTCAAAACAAGGCAGACTTGAGACTGTGAAGACAAGAAAGGAAACCATCTTTGCAAACACTGCACCGGGTGCAATGCCCTCCCACTCTAAGTCAAAAGGATCAGAAGCAGATAAAACAATGAAAAGAATGCAACGATGTAATTTATATACCCAATTTCGGGTTTCCTTGACATTACATAGGCAAGGCTACTCTATTATTCTCTTGAGATATGTTGTTGAAACTAGGAGCTTTAATTTTCCACTCTCTTAAGTCATTATATAAAAGAACGTACTGGTTCACATTCATGATAAATGAGATGTCTTTAAAATGAACAGAACGTTTTTCTGAAATTTCATTTTATTTCATATTTAAGAATATGGCCCTTGTATAAGCTCCCTAGAAATACATTTCTTGTCATAGTGTTCAAGCCCCACTGCACTGTGAAGAAAAAAGAATGTAAGAAATATCTTTTAAGCCACTCGTGAGGGGGAAAAATATGTAGAAGTAAAGATTTACGTGGCAGGAACCAATACCCAAGAAATAAAAACACTTGATGAACTGAAACAATCACCCATACTGTCAATAATGATCCCAAATCTTCCTCTTCCACCTTTTAAGTACATAAGCTCAGCATTTATCTATATAATATCAAGTCTAATAAATGAAGCTTAAATTTCAGTTCAGAAAAAAGAAACAAAAAA